GGGTGTGGGTGTGGGTGTGGGTCCGGGTGTGAGTGGGGGTGTGGGTGTGGGTGTGGGTCCGGGTGTGAGTGGGGGTGTGGGTGGTGGGTGGTGAATGTGGGTGGGTGTGGGTTGGTTGTGGGTGTGGGTGTGGATACTGCAGACACAGGGTGTGTGGTGTGGGTGTTGATACTGAGGACACAGCGTGTGGGTATGAGTGTGGGTGGGTGTTGATGTGGGTGTGGGCGTGGGTGGGTGTGTGTCTGATTGCGAGTGCATTAAGAGCTGATCCACACCCACACCCACACTCACGCACCCACACCCACACCCCACACTCACACCCACACCCACACCCCACACTCACACCCACACCCACACCCCACACTCACACCCACACCCACACCCCACACCCACACCCACACCCACACCCACACCCACACCCACACCCACACCTCACACCCACCCGCACCCGCACACCCACACCCTCACTGTATTCTGGCATGTTCTTTCAAACAAATATATATATATATATATAACGGGTGTCCTAGAATACATAAAAATAAGCCTGTCCGTATTTTGATGATATCTCTTTTAATATTCATTTGATCAGGCAATATTTTTTCCAAAAGATTCGTCTTTTCATGCTCTACAAAATGGCTTGTTTTTATTATTATAGATAGTGTTGCTTATTTTAAAAGATGCCCAAGCAGACAAGGCTTATCTTACGACACTTTTACGCGTTAAAATGTGTACTTGTAACGCTAAGAAAATAGCTTTTGTTTTAGGTGAAAGTAAATTTGCAGGTATTATGATGTTTCAACTCGCTTTTCTCCCAAAAATAATCCCATGTTTTAACGCGTTTTTACGAAATAAAATATGCCGTGTTTAACGCGTAAAATGCGTTATTTTTAGCTTTTTGCCTGACTGGATGCTCTTCAAATCAACAGTCAGAGATGAACAATTTTGTAAAATAAGTTTTTGACGGATATTTGTGTGGCTTCACGTTTCCTTGCACCTGTAATAGTATCTTTCAATGTTATCTTTTTGTCATAGTTGGAAATAGTAAGTTCGTTTCAAAACGAATAATACAATAGATTTAAATTTGATTTATTCAGCGATCAATGTTTCTTGCTGTTGAAATTCTTGCCATCGAAAGAGCGAAAGTTGTCTTGAAATCATTATTGTGTCCACTGATAATTCAAATATGGATCGCGTCAGACAGAACCGAATTCGCATCGAAATTTTGTCATTGTCTCAGATCTCTGGTACGTACAGTTTCAGTGAAAACGGATGTTAAATGTATAAATGCCAACTTGAAAGGACTCTTATCACTCTTTGAATGAACATTTTGGTTCTGGCTAAGGGAATAATATTCAATTCTACACTTCTCAAGGCATATGTTTTAGGTAAGGAATGATGAGGATTTGGGCATTCCTTTATCAATGAAAGAGTATTCAATAAAACACTCTACAAAAGGTATCAAAATAAGCATTTTTAGTTATGAGTTAAAAGTATTTCATTGATGTAAGACTAAAGCAATGTTGTCGACGCTGCCGTCATTAGATTGCTGAGCAGTGCGAGTAAATATGACCAAGACTTTTGCTACACGAGCTCCAGCTGGAACAATTCCTCCAGCCTCCCGATAGAGCATCATCGATATATAGTTACGATCACTGGCGGAGACTGGTCCAATGGTGGTGACATAACCCACCTCTTGAGAGAGCTGATTCATGAAAGTTACCGAAATTTTGGCATTATCATTTTGGTCTTTCCAACCTCCGATCCATGCAGAGAGACGAAAATGAACTGTACGTGAATCAATCAGTGCAGCAACAACTGTATTAGTCAGACTGATTGTTTGCCACATAGTAGTCGATGATGAGATTTGCCCGAAAAAATAACAATTACCACGATTGCTGAAAAGATAATACTATATGAAAACAACAGTGATAATCGTTGGCTTTTCTACCTGGGTCCTGGACTCGATAGTGACATGGGTCCGTAATTGTGATTATTGTACGCGACTTGTGTAACTGCTCCGTTATAGCTCCAACTGGTGGGGCTTTTTATTCCATTGCCTATTTCACAGAGACCCGTTTCACCGTCACCATTTTTAACCAGATTCACATCGAATGCTAAATAGAGACTGAGAATGACTGCTCGAATAGGTAGAGCTCACCTCTAATCGAAATGAGCATGACAGAAAAATGAGTTAAAAACGAATCAGTTTTTCGCGGAAACAAATTAATAATATTGAATTATCATCTTCGATTATGGGACTAGATTGAGATATCTGTCAACTCTCCTAAAATGACATTCACATAATTTACACAAAGCTTCGCTAGTATGGAGTAACTGTCGGCAGTCTATTATTATATATATAAAATGTCTGATTGTCATAAACTATCCTCTACTTTTTTATGTTGGAGTTCTCTTTACTTTTGAAAATTCATTTTGTTAGTGTGTAAATTACATTCTAACATACATGGTTTTCTAGTATGTCATCGTACTAGATTTTGTGCCTATCTATTGTTCTGTGTGTAAGAAATGCAAGAGAAAGAGAAGATTCATTTTTCCAGATAGAATAGCGTTCATCACTAAATTGTTTTGCTCACTCGTTCCTATAAGATGGAAAAGATGTCACTATACTCTTAGAAAGAAATTTTCATGTGGATCTCTGAATAGTATTTGTATCTTTAATATTGACTATTACTGCAAGAACATTTCACATTACTTTTAAATCTTCCTAAAAGAACCTCTCCCATTTAACTCTTTGTGCCCTGAATTTTTCTACTGAACCAAAATTTGATGAAATTTAATATAAACTAACTAGGCGACATTAGGAAACATGTGGTTAAATTATAATTAACGAACGCACGTGATCACATGAAAATTAAAACATTTTTATTATTGTTGAATTTCTATGGAAAATCGTTATTATAATTGCTGAAACATTTATTTGTTTCATTACTAATACACGCAGTTTTAATGATACAACAAAAGAAGAACAATTTTTTATGTAAAGATGAACACAACAAAAGTTACAAATTATATTCGTCCTTTTCTCTGTTTCTTTTTTGCTACAATAAGCGCATCGGCGATAAATTGAAATAACTTTTGGCATATGAACCAAAATTTATGCTTTTTCAAAATTTGCTGTATTACTTTTTCTCTTTGGAACGTATTTCTTCTTCTGATTACTTATCGCCAAAGATATTCCTACTCTTTTTCTACTGCAATAATTAGCTACAAGTGCGGTACTAATAGACGACATATATTCTAAACATCCTCCAGTATCAAATTTGTCAAATCGGTAGCCTCCATATAAATAACCTATGTTGACTAGATATGCGGATATACACATAGACATTGCGTGTTATATGTACAGAAGATAATTCTCTTGTTGAGGATTCATGGAAATAAATCAAATGAATTTAGTCTTTTGTAACAGACTGAACTATTTATCATAGTACCCTAGATATATCTCATGGATATACATTTTGAAGAAAAGAAAAATCAACGAAAAATTTTTAAAATTCAGGTTATGGAGTCAAAACCTTTTTTGGGCTAAAGAAACTCAGCGTAGTACACTTTTCAATGTCCTTCATACACCCTATATCCATGCAATCTTGTAGAGACCTGTGCAAACTTCTAACATTTATTGAAAATATTTCTTCAAGATTCTCAAAAACTCG